TTTATATTTTCATTCTTGAGATTTGGTAATAGGTTTTAACATCTGGCAAAGATAGTCCCTCTCCTTCCCACCCCTGATTTTAGTCAGTAATCTTAAGATTTTTTCAAGTTTTTTTTTTTTTTTTAAGTAATCTCTACATCCAACATGGTGCTCGAACTCACAACCCCGAGATCAAGAGTGGCACGCTCCACTGATCGAGCCAGCCAGGTGCTCCTTAATGTTTATTTATTAAAAAAATTTTTTTTAATGTTTACTTATTTTTGAGAGAGACAGAGGGCGAGTAGGGGAGGGGCAGAGAGAGAGGGAGACACAGAATCCAAAGCAGGTTCCAGGATCTAGGCTCTGAGCTGTCAGCACAAGGCCTGACTTACGAACTGCGAGATCATGACGTGAGCCGAAGTCAGACACTTAACCTATCTAGCCACCCAGGCGCCCGTTTTTGTACTGATAAAGACACACTTCGAGTGCACAATTTGCCAATTTTTCGTGATGCGCTTTGAATTCCTGGGTATCCAGATGAGGCAATCAGTGAACACGTCCCGTCTCCCACCCACCTTCTCTCAGCCCCGATTTTGGCTAGAGTATCACTTCTGCACCGCTCTGTAACCTTGACGTTCTCTTTTCTCATCGTAATCGCCCCAGTAGTGTGAGACGTGCTATCAGGCGTTCATCCCCAGCCCTTTTGCTCCAGGGTTGCCTTCATCTCTTGGTTGACCGAAGCTCACCTCCTGGTAGTTTCTTCAAGAAGGGCTCCTAGGACCCACATTCTGTGACTTTGTGCAGATTCAGCGCTGTTGGCCTGCAGGCCTGATCCTTGGGGGTTTTGTTGAACACGAGATCCCCGGCCCACCTTTGCTTTCCTGGGCTGCCTTGAGGCTCTTGCCGCCTGAGGCGCTGAATGTCCCCGCGGAGAAGTCTCAGCCCAGCTGGTTCTCCTCCCCCATGTGAGTGATTGGGGCCTTGTTGTCCCGTCTCGTCGCTAACCACTCTGGGCTGGTTTTCCTGACACAGCGCACCTTTCAAGGGTCCTTGTAGCTTCATAGGTTACACTTTTAGTGTTTGTTCTGTTCCTTGGTTTAGTTCTCTTTCCTCACTAACTCCAGTTCTGTGCGCGTGGCCTCTCCTTTGGTCCGTTTCCGCCCTTCTCTTTAACCCCTCGTCCTCTCTGTCCCCTTCTTTTCACTGCTTTTCTTATTTGGGTCCCCCTTCCCCCTTTCTGAGCTTTCCCGTCTGCCTCTTTTCCTTTGTGTCCTCATCTTGTCCTCTCGTCTCCGGACTTCCCCTGCCTCCCGGAGCCCCGCCGCCACCCTCCGGCTCTTTCTCGCTCCAGCTCTTTCTCGACCGTTCACTTCGCAGCCGGCCTTCCTACAGGCAGTTGCTTTGCTTAGTGTTGTTTTAACGTGTGACCTATGTCGCTTTCTCAGGAATAATTCCCATGATTAATGTGAGGGTCAGAGGCTCTCTCCTCCGCTTCGCAGAAACAGACGCTCCCTGCATAGGTGGCTCATGTGGGTGATTCTGGTTGCAGCCTGACCTCCCAAAGCCAGCCCCGCTTGCCCAGGTCCCACATGCACTGTTGCTCTTGAGGGTGAGTCCCTTACCTTCAGGAAGTGACTTTCTGAGCTTATTGAGATCAGTTGCCCTTAGTCCCCCCCCCCACTCCCCCCGCACCCACTTTCCATGTTTATTCTCTTCACTTCCTGCCTCCTCGGCCTCTGCCCAGTCTCTGCTGTTTTTGGAAGCCCTTGTATGTATTTTGGTGTCTGCAGATTAATGTGCTCCCTAATCTCACTGCAAATGGAGTTTGGGTTCTGTTCATCTTCCCTGTTGCTTCTGAGCTCGTTCCAGAACACACCAACCAGTTCTTCTGATTTTAAGGCAGCGGAAAAGCTTATTAGCTAGTGTCCTTGTTCAGAAGAGAACAACTAGTAAAGTCATTTTAAAAACATGTCTTGGGTAGTGTTGGCTTGCCGAAAATAAACCAGGGCAGGGCGTCTGCCTGGAGGACCTTGTAGAAGAGTGGTGATGGCAGACCTCTGTGCTAGAACCTTGGGAAACCGTTGCAGGAAGCTGAGGACGCGCAGAACTCCTGGTCCTGGCCTCGTGGGAACATGCACCGGGCCCCTCACGCCTGCACCGGTCCCTGGAGACCTGGGGCCAGAGGGCAGGTGTAGGGGCCCACACACTACCAGCAGAGTGTGTGTTAGTGAGCATGAAATGTACCCTTATGTCTACCTGTGAGTTTAAGTACAGTCTCAGCCAGTATTGACTGATGGCACGGCTAGAACCTGGGTTCTCCCTGAGGGATGCGTGGCAGATTTGATCATGTGCACATACGGAAATTTACCTTACCTTGCAGAAACTCATAATCATGGAATCAAGCATCTAACTTTAAATAAACGATTTCTGGGGCGCCTGGGTGGCTCAGTCGGTTAAGTGGCCGACTTCGACCCAGGTCATGATCTCGCGGTCCGTGAGTTCGAGCCCCGTGTCGGGCTCTGTGCTGACGGCTCAGAGCCTGGAGCCTGTTTCAGATTCTGTGTCTCCCTCTCTCTGACCCTCCCCCATTCCTGCTTTGTCTCTCTCTGTCTCAAAAATAAATAAACGTTAAAAAAAATTAAATAAACGATTTCTTAGCTTCAGTCATGGAAGGGTCACTAGGACTTTGTATAATTATTTTACTAATTGTCTTCCCTGCTCTGGATGGATCTGCTCTTTTCTGGAGGTCTTAAGTTAGGTGTTAGGGATAATCAGCCTGTCATCCTTATCAATAAATCATTGATTTACTTCTGTACCCTACAGAATTCCAAAAAAGAATTAAAGACAGCTTACGGAAACTGCACAAGGGTGCTCGCTTCGGTAGCACATGTCCTAAAATTGGAACGTTACGGAGATTAGCCAAAAAGAAAGAAAGAGAGAGAAAGAAAGGGGAGGGAGGGAAGGAAGGAAGGAAGGGAGAAAGAAAAGAAAGAACAGAAAAAAGAAAGGGGCACAAGGAAATTATAGCAAAAAGGAAAATAATGGGAGGGGAAAATGAGAAGAAAGAACACAGATTGCAGGCGGGACAAACATCCAGTATTCTTTCTCTGAGCTTTTGGCTCCAAGCTTCCAAGCAGGCAAGGCAGAGAGGGGGAGCCATCACCAGAGGTGTGAGGCAAACACAAATGTGTTGATCAGAGAGTGGTTCTTTTGGGAATTTCGGTTACAGGGAAATTTCCTTCTCGCTCATCAAGAGGACATTGTGTGGTATAAACAATGTTGCCAACAACTTCCTGGCAGTGTTAACGTTCCCGACAGCCATTAATTTCTGATGACACTTCTCAGACTGCTCGTGACTATGGGCCAGAGTCATTAAATCAACACACGGTTCAGTTCTGCGAGGATCAGAACAGTGCGATCCAGGCTAACGGCTCTCCACTGCTCTGGTTTGATCTTGGGATAGACTTCAGAGTCTCTCCGCTAAGGAAGGGAATGCATGTCTTTTCAGGGATCCTCCCGAATGACTTCTTTCACCCAAATGTTTGATAAGTACTGGGCGGTAGTTTGACAAGTTTCTGGAAGGTAGATACTTTGTATTACCGATGGGAGGTCCATTCTACTGCAGAGAAATTTTAGGGCTCTTTTAACTGCCCAGTGCTTCCAGTCATCTATATAGACACCTGGAAGTCCTTTTTGCAGAGGCCCTGTTATCTCATCTGTCTTACTTAAAATCTAGTTCGATTATTAACACCATAGTGTGATGCATGAGATTATTATATAATCTTTTTTTTTTTAAAGCTTTTTAATTTATTTTTGAGAGAAAGAGACAGCGTGAGTGGGGAAAGGGCAGAGAGAGAGGGTGAGAGAATATCCTGACGCGGGGCTCGAACTCATGAAACCATGAGATCACGACCTGAGCCGGAACCAAGAGCTGGATGCTTAACTAAGCCACCCAGGCACCCCTGAAAAGAGACTGAGTTTTAGGGAAATTTCTCCGGCACCAATGAAAAACGTATTCATTCATTCACCAAATTTAATTGAGCACCTGTTAGGCATATAGCACCTTGGTGAGTTTTGGGGGTCATTGTGTTCCCTGTTGTTTTCCCTTGATTAGGATTTTCACATCCCCACCTGACTTCATTTCCCAGTGTAGAAACAGATACAGATGTGGGACCCGAATCTTTAACTCTTAGAAATTCTGGGTGATTACCACATGGGTATGAGGTCTGACAACCAGATAATCAGAAGGAAAGGAAATCAGCCTGGTTTTTTTCTTTTCTTTCTTTCTTTTTTAACATTTTTTTTATTTTTGTGAGACAGAGAGAGCGCGCAAGCAGGGCAGAAAGAGAAGGAGACACAAAATCTGAAGCGGGCTCCAGGCTCCGAGCCGTCAGCACAGAGCCCAACGAGGGGCTCGAACTCACGAACCATGAGATCATGACCTGAGCTGAAGTCGGACGCCTAACTGACTGAGCTACCCAGGCGCCCCAGAAATCCACGTGGTTTTTAAAAGTTTTGAGTATTCCTTGGCCTCTTCGTTTTCATTAGTTTAAATTTTAGGGGAGCCTGGCTGGCTCAGTCAGTAGAGCGTGTGACTCCTGATCTCAGGGTTGTGAGTTGGAGCTCCGCATTGGGCATGGAACCTACTTTATTTATTTTTATTTTTTTAGTGTTTATTTTTGTGACACAGAGAGAGAGAGAGAGAGCGAGAGAGAGCGAGAGAGCGCGTGCGTGAGCAGGGGAGGGGCAGAGAGAGAGGGAGACGCAGAATCTGAAGCGGGCTTCAGGCTCCGAGCTGTCAGCACAGAGCCCCACGTGGGGCTCGAACTCAGGGACTGGGAGACCGTGACCCGAGCCCAGGTTGGACACTTAACTGACTGAGCCACCCAGGTGCCCCAAGCATGGAGCCTGCTTTGAAAACAAAGTTTAGTTTGTAAAAGATTTCACTCTGCTTTCCTTTCCTCATCATTACAGGAGATTGAGTACAAATTGAAGAAACGTGTTTTTCTTCCCTGTTTCAGATTTTGAGATCCAGAGCGAGGATGGGGAGAACTCCAATCAAGATATGTTCGAGGACGCGGAATCACGGCAGATGTTGCCGGAGAGGCCCGACGGGGCGGGCACTCAGCGGCCTGGCTGGGAAAGCGACTTGGAGAGAGACCGTGGCCCCGGGGGGCGCCGGGGAGGGGCCCCGGCCGGGGGCCGCAGGGAGGTGGCGGCCCAGGGCCGGGAGGTGGGACGGCTCATCGGCCTTCAGGGCACCTACCTGGGGGAGAAGCCCTACGAGTGTCCGCAGTGTGGGAAGACCTTCAGCCGGAAGTCCCACCTGATCACGCACGAGCGGACCCACACGGGGGAGAAGTACTACAAGTGCGGCGAGTGCGGGAAGAGCTTCAGCGACGGCTCCAACTTCAGCAGACACCAGACCACGCACACGGGGGAGAAGCCTTACAAATGCAGGGACTGCGGGAGGAGCTTCAGCCGGAGCGCCAACCTCATAACCCACCAGAGGATCCACACGGGGGAGAAGCCCTTCCAGTGCGCCGAGTGCGGCAAGAGCTTCAGCAGGAGCCCCAACCTCATCGCCCACCAGCGGACCCACACGGGGGAGAAGCCCTACTCGTGCCCCGAGTGCGGGAAGAGCTTCGGCAACCGCTCGAGCCTTAACACGCACCAGGGCATCCACACCGGCGAGAAGCCGTACGCGTGCAAGGAGTGCGGGGAGAGCTTCAGCTACAACTCCAACCTGATCCGGCACCAGCGGATCCACACGGGCGAGAAGCCCTACCGGTGCCCCGACTGCGGGCAGAGGTTCAGCCAGAGCTCGGCGCTCATCACGCACCGCAGGACGCACACCGGCGAGAAGCCCTACCGGTGCGGCGAGTGCGGCAAGAGCTTCAGCCGCAGCTCCAACCTGGCCACGCACCGCAGGACGCACCTGCCGGAGAAGCCCTACAAGTGCGGCGAGTGCGGCAAGAGCTTCAGCCAGAGCTCCAGCCTCATCGCGCACCAGGGCACGCACACGGGCGAGAAGCCCTACGAGTGCCTGACGTGCGGGGAGAGCTTCAGCTGGAGCTCCAACCTCGTCAAGCACCAGCGCATCCACACGGGCGAGAAGCCGCACCGCTGCGGCGACTGCGGCAAGAGCTTCGGCCAGCGCTCCCAGCTGGCGGCGCACCGACGGACGCACACCGGCGAGAGGCCCTACCGGTGCGTCCTGTGCGGCAAGAGCTTCAGCCGCGGCTCCGTCCTCGTCATGCACCAGCGAGCCCACCTGGGCGACAAGCCGTACCGCTGCCCCGAGTGCGGGAAGGGCTTCAGCTGGAACTCGGTGCTCATCGTCCACCAGCGCACCCACACCGGGGAGAAGCCCTACAAGTGCCCCGACTGCGGCAAGGGCTTCAGCAACAGCTCCAACTTCATCACCCATCAGAGGACTCACGTGAAGGACAAGCTGGGCTGAGGCGGCAGAAGGGCCCCGGGACACCGAGGTCCCTCCGGGAGAGCCATGCTCCCTAAGCGGTCTCTGGGGACTTTTGCGGGGACCTCGCCCTCCCCCGTCCCCATCTCTAACACACCTCGGTGGTCGCAGGCGAACCCCCAGAACAGGGCACGGGGACGGAGGGTCGGGTCTTCTCACTGCTTCGTTTCCAGGCGCGACTGGCGTCCTGCGTCCCGGTGCTCTGTGCCTCGGTCCTCTCTCTAGTGGGACGGGGTGGGGTGGGGGTGGGGTGTTTCGCATGTGGAACGGAAGGCCGCGTGCCCCCAGCCCAGGCTGAGTCCTCGGAAATACGGTCCACGGGTGCTGGTGGTTTCGCCCCCACCTCGCTGGGTTGAGGTGCCTTGACCCCGAGCTGCTGGCACGCCAGGGTGCCCCGTCCAAACCCACTCTTCCTGGCGTGCGTCCTGGGCTTTGATGGCAGGTCAGGGTGGATGGGCTTGTCCGGCTCTGGGTCCTCCACGTGAAGGCAAAGGCCGTTTCTGTTTGTAGAAAGCGTCAGGAACACCTAAACACCAGGCTGTAGGCCCTGGAGCCAGCGTCCTGGTAGGCTTTCCGTTGGTTAAGAGCTGAACAGGGCCCACCAGGAAGGGTATAAACGGGGATGTACACATTTGCCTGTGTCTCTGCTTACTGTCCCGTGGGAAGTCGGCTGCTGGGGGAATGCACTGGTTTTTGTGGAGTTTTGGTTTTTGAGTGGGAAGTGAAGTTGGGGACCCCCACTGCCTACCCCTGGCCGATGGTGGTTTCTGTCTCATCGAGGGTGGGACAGCCCTGCACTCTTCAGGGGGGCCTGTGTCTTCACCCCCACAGATAAACAGCCCCCAGATCATCTCTCTGCACTGGCCATTCCCGTTCTTCTATTTTTTATGTTCTATATGCAGAGATAGAATTCTGTCTGGTAGCTTTTGTATACTTTCATATTTTTAAGGAAGTGTTGATTTTGAGGACACACAGTCTGTCCCCCGGAGGGATGTGAGCTTGAATCAGGGGCTGTTCTAACAGGTGTCATCCTTGGTCTGGGGATGCTACCAGCGCTTTGTGGTTGGGTCCTCGAGCCTTGAAACCGTAGAGACCAGGGGATGGTAGCAGGTCAAGGGGGTTGTTATAAGGAAGAGGAGAGCAGATAAAGTGTTTCTGGGAAATATGAAACCACCTCCTCCAGCGCATGGAGTCTGTGCTCACAACGGGCCTTGGTTCTTAGAGAACGGATGCTCAACATTGCCTAATAAAATAGTCTCATTCTTTTCCTGTGTCTGCCTTCTAATGTGGACCGGACTATTAGCAAACCCACACACCTCACTTCCCACCCACTCACCTCCTGCCCTAGGCCAAAAGTGGCCCAAGACCTTCAGGGAGTCAAAGTCAGTGGCTTCAAAGAACACACCTTTGGGTGAACCAAGATCTGTGTGCTTGACCGGTGCACACACCTGTCCATCGCCCTTGGCCGACTCTGCATCCAGTCTGTCAACCAAGATGGAGTGGCAGGTTTGGCTAAGAAGCCAGCAGCCTCCTAAGGAGGCCGTTGGGAATCATCTCTATCCAGAATCAACTAGATTAGACACAAGGAGGACGTTTCTAACCTAGGCAGTGATGGTTGTTAAACCAAGCCACGTAGGCCATGAAATCCCCATCATTCACTTATTTGGCAAACATTGAGGACTTAAGTACCATCACGGTGTTGGGTACTAGGTTCTAGGAAAACTCCGTGAAGTTTTCGTAGGAGGAATAATCCCACCTGTCTGGATGGATACGGTGGTTTTCCAGCTGATACCAAATTCTGGGATTTGGGTCATAGAAGATACTAGCGCTCTCTTCCTCTAAGTCTCAAGAAAAGAGCTGATATTAAGCTTTGCAAAACCTTTTTTTTTTTTTTTTTTTTTTTTTTTTTTACTCCTCTCTACCTAGTAGGGACACAAAATATCTTAGGAAAAAAAGGGACAGAAGATCAGGTTGGGAGATGACAGTCTGTGGTCCTAGAAAGGTTGAGAGTCCGTCACTTCCTGTCCTGCCTGCCCCTGGAGCGGATCTGTGGAGGCAGGGGGGGCTCAGCATGCACTGGCCTTCGTGCGGCTCTGTGCGGGATGCAAGGGCACAGCCTTCTTCCCTGGAAGACGTCAGGAAGCCCCAGGCCCCCTGGGGGGGACTACTTCGGCCCCCCAGCAGATTTCCTTCGGCCATGTCTTTGCCTGTGATTCAGTCACACCTCTGTAACAAAGGCTATTTCCCCTAAATGTACATGCATTTAGGGATTGAGGTTTTATCATGTTTGTTTCATGGGAACAGCCTTGGGACAGTTACAAATTTAGGGACAAATTTCAAATTTAGAATAAATGGTGAAAAAAAAAAAACGATCGCTTCACCCTCGGGGCGTCCCCCATGTCCAACTCAGCAGGTCCTCTCCATGACTTGCTCACTCCCCTCTCCCGGGCCCTCAGGGGCCTCCTTGCACCCTTTGGCCGTTCCCAGACCCAGCTTGGCTCACCTTCCCTGAGAACCCCGAACCTGTCCGGTGTGGCCTCCCTCAGCGTCCCGGCCCCAGAGCAACAAGCTTGTCCGTGGCACCCTCACTTCCTCCAGGCTCACTTCCTCCAGGCTCAGCCGAGAGCCACCGTTCAGGGTAGCAGTAAGCCATCTCCACCTGCACCAGTGGCCGCTTCTCTCCCGGTCAGGGCCTCGCCCCCTCAGTCACTCCCCGACCCCTGCTTTCCAGTCTCCTAGAGCCTCAGACTCAGCATGTCCAGGAGGCCCCCTCCCTGCCGGCCTCCCTTGTGTTTGCTCTGTGAGTAGCACTGCCATCGCATGGCCCCACTCAAACCCAAACCTGGGAGTCACCCAAGACTCCTTCCTCCCTCCCTCAGAGCCCTTCAGGACCCAAACCCTGCAAGTTCTGCCTTTTTAACCTCTCTCCCGGCTCCCGCCTCACCCCACCCCAGGGCATAGTTCATACCCTTATGCTTGCAGTAGCCCACAGGCTCCCTCCCTGCCTCCTTCTTCATCCTCAACTGTAGCCAGCCTGAGTGTGAGCCCCTCACAACCCGGTTTAACCCCCCCAGGGCTCCCCATCCTACAGAAAGGCTGTGTTCCTTGGAGCACAGATGAAGTCTTCCTGATGGGCCTCTGAGGAACCTCTGTACCCTGACCATCCTCGCCCCCTGGCCGCTCCCCTTGAATGTGCTCCACAGGCCCTGCCTTGTCCTCCCGCTGTCTCCTGTTCTGTTCTGGGATGCCTGGCCTCCCGAGGGCACACCTGCACATTTCTGAAAACTCAGTCTGGGTACCGTCTTCTTCATGAGGCCTTCCCTGCTCTTCTCTGGCAGACCTCACCCTGCGTCCTGCACCCAAGGACTGTCCAACCTCAGAGCCTCAGACATGATTCTGCCCCTCTGCCTTCTATGTGTTATGATCACACCTGTTCTGATGTCAGAAGCCAGTGGGAAACTAGGCATGTTCTTTCCTGTAGCTGAGTCTAGTACACAATGTTTCTCTTGTCTGGACAAGCAATGGGACTTGGAGACTATCTTATCTCACTCTTACCCTTTGATCCTAGTGCGTTCATATGACATATCCTGAGGACCCCCCCCCTTGTTTTAATATATACATTTTAAAATTGTTTTTTTTTTTTAATGTTCATTTATTTTTGAGAGAGACACAGAATGTGAGCAGGGGAGGGGCAGAGAGAGAGGGAGACACAGAATCCAAAGCAGGCTCCAGGCTCCGAGCTGTCAGTGCAGAGCCCGACTTGGGGCTCAAATCCATGAACTGTGAGATCGTGACCTGAGATGAAGTTGGACGCTTAACCGACTGAGCCACCCAGGCGCCCCTAATATATACATTTTAAAATACAAAACACAGGTAAGTGCACAAAAGTGTAAGCTCATGGCACTCTTACAAACTGGACACACCCATGTAACCAGCACCCAGACCAAGAAACAGCACCGCCACATCCCAGAGGCCCCTCAGGTCCACGCCCAGCAGTACTTTGTCACCCTGTCCCTGTTCTCATGTTTGGCACAGTAGAGGGAGTGTTGGGAGCTGGACAGACCTGGTTCTAGACACTTGGGCCACCAGTCACACCCCCCCCCCACTTGACTTTTAGTAGACATTTTACAGTATGAGGCAAGTCATAAAGAGACTTCTTTTTTCATGGAATTTTTCTTCCCTTTGGGTTGCATTTTTATACTTTATGGTAAGCCACACTAGCCTACAGTAACAACCCAGGGAGCAGCTGCTGTGCACAGGCTCTGTGCTACGTTCTACACGTACGCCTCACTTGATCTTGACAACCCTGTGAGGTAGGTCCGTATCCCCGCTTCGGGGCTGGGGGAGTGGAGGCTCAGAGGGGAATCCGGTGCGTAACCTGCCCGGCACCTGCTGCTTTATGTCACTGTGTTATTAAAGCCCTGAGAAGTACCCATGGGAAAAAATGGAGAAAAGAACCAAACACTGAAATGCAAACAACACTGGCTACGAGGCTTCCCTGTAGCTGGTAGCAAGAAGATCCCACAACTGGAATTGGTCCTGCCTTGCACGGGGCCACGTGACCGGTGGTGGCTCTTCCCAGCCCCTTATCCCTGACTTTGCAGTCCTGTCTCCTCACAGGGAGCTCAGCAGGGACCCAGGGTGCTGGGCTGGCACTCACAGTCCCTCCCGGACGGTCCTGGAGTTTTTTCACACGCACGGCCATTTTAACCTCTCCTGTTGCCCGGGCGGGCCCTGTTAAACTATTTCAAATTTCTGGACAGAATATTAGGGCCCTTCCTTTTTCTACTCTCATGATTTGATAACATAGCCCCAGGCCCCAGAGGAAGTGGAAGTAGGATTGTATGGACAATGGTCAGATTTTGAGACGGAGGATTTCCTCGCCTGGTGGGGGGTGACGGCTGGTGGCGAATCCCCTTTGGCTCTCCACCCAGTCATCGGTGCAACTGAGCTCATGCCTCTGGTGTCAGCAGGGGCTGTGGCTCTAGGGCCTACCTGCCCCCGGTTCCCCCTCTCCTGCTGGCTCTTCCCAGTGTCCCAGCTCTGATAACTTTCCATCCCTTCGCAGGCCCGAGCCAGCTGTGGAACGGCTGTGGGGTGGGGAGTCCGGCTCCAAGGAAACACCACCCGGGCCCCTGGAGCTCCCAGGCCCTGGCAGACACAGCGTCTCCACTGCCTGTTTACACTGTTGGCGTCTGAGGGCAGGCGTGCCTGCCAGGAGGCCTCAGCGGGGGCACCTTTGGCCAACTGACCGCAGAGTTCTGGTCCCCAGCCTTTCTGGTGCAGAGACTGGATTTCCCCAGTTACCCAGAGGTGACCGGACCCTGGGTGGCAGGCTCCTGCTAACTCAATTTCCAAGAGACCAAGAGAATCTAGAACTCAAATTATTAATTTATGGTGGGGGATCTCCTATCACAAGCCTCCTTCAGAGCACCCATCATTCCTGGTCTTGAGTGACTGCAATGGTGGCTTTGTGATTAGAGAGTACTTGAGCAGCCGGACATGAAAGGAAGCGGTCATGTGAGGGACAGGCAGACGCCAGCCACGAGCCCCTCTGGGGACAGATGCTGGGCTTCAAAACCACTTGTTATCCGTGTCCCCCCATGCTGTCTGCTCAGTGCCCAAGATGGCCTTGTTAACTCTGCCAGGTTTCCCTGTTGGACGGGTGTCCTTGCGCAGGTAAGTTAGTATCACTGGTTAAATGAGTTGGATGGATGGTCCAGTGGGCCTAGGGAACATAGTCTCCACTCATTATATGTGGCTGTCATCTGTCGAATTCCTGGAGGATAAGCTTTTATCTCCTTCACCTGGAAATCCTTGTCCCCTTATGCACTGCTTCTAAACACCTCTGTGCAATGTTTTTCTAAATACATCAGGGATCCAGAAACCAAACGCTTGCTGAAACTGATGTACAGACATTTGCCACTCCTAGCTGTCCCAAATGGCGCTGCCTTCAGAGTTACTGGCTCCTGTGTCTCCCTCCCACTCGTGTCCTGGCATCTGTGACATAGTGGATGGTGGGTTGCGAGCCAAAGAGACCTGTTGGGCGTCTGGGTGGCTCAGCTGGTCAAATGACGGACTCTTGATTTTGGCTCAGGCTGTGATCTCGCCGTTCTCGGGATCAGGCCTCGCTTCCGGCTCTGCACGGACAGTGTGGAGCCTGCTTGGGGTTCTCTCTCTCTCCCCCTCTCTCTGCCCCTCCCCCCAAAGCATGCTCTTTCTTTCTCTCTCTCTCTCTCAAAATAAACTTAAAAAACCTGGAGACCTGCCAGACCTGGTTCTAGACACACCTGTGCCACTAACCAGCATTATGATGAGGCAAATCACTTCCGGAAGCCTCATTTTCCACATCTGCAAAACTGATGACAGTGCTTGCTGTGCCCACTCCAGAAGGCTGCTCGGAGGAGGTCGATCACTCTGTACGGCAGAGAACACTAAAACCCTATCCGTGGTAGTATTGCTAACTCTGACCTAGACGTAGCCTGCTTTCACCAAAAAATGCACCTGTCTAGGTTTCTGAGGACAACTGTCCTCTGAGGGACCAGGAGGCCACAAGTGGGAAAGTATCTCATGTGTGTAGACTTTTGGGGGTCCTTTAGTCCCTTTCTTTGAGGGGCGTGGCCCACAGCTTGAGGACACGTATGCGTGTCTTCTCCCTTCAAGTACTGGATGTGGTGTTGATGGTCGATATGACTTGTGTTTGGGGCTACACTCTCCCTGCTTGATTTTGCTTCCAGTGGAAGTTCCATGTGCTCAGGAGCTCCCTGAGTTAAGGTAATAGGGCAGGGACGTGGATTAGTAATTTTAAATTTTCTTCCCTTTTTTTTAAACAGAGGAGGGGCGCCTGGGTGGCTCACTCGGTTAAGCAGCCGACTTCGGCTCAGGTCATGATCTCGCGGTCCGTGAGTTTGAGCCCCGCGTCGGGCTCTGTGCTGACAGCTCAGAGCCTGGAGCCTGTTTCAGATTCTGTGTCTCCCTCTCTCTGACCCTCCCCCGTTCATGCTCTGTCTCTCTCTGTCTCAAAAAATAAATAAACGTTAAAAAAAACCAACAACAACAGAGGAACCTCTTTTCAAGGGAAATCTTAAACTAATAGAAAATGCTAAAAGCAAAGCTTCTCTGTGACTTGATGGTGGGAACCCAAAGCCTTCTCCTGGCCCAGACTCACAACTGGACTTAGGGCTTTCTGGAAAGCCCCTCTTGCCATCCTGTGTTTCCCTTGCCTGCCCCTCCCCACCCCCAAGGCTGCCCCTTCTGTGGGAATAATCACAGCTTCACCCACCTTTAATTGAATTTTGGACCTTTCATCTGTTAAAGAGGGAGTGAGGCCTACTATGCAGGATTCATTATCAGATCCAAACCAGAGAAAATATGCAATGTAAGTGCTCAATAAAATGCAGTTTCCTGCCCCCTTCCCCTGAGGCCGCACCTTCTACCCTCTTGGGCTCTCCCAGTCGCTCTCCAGTATTTCTTTCCAGCCACATTCTTTGAAGGCACCTTTTAGCACTTACCACACTGCATTGGAGATATGTGGGTTGTTCAGGGCAGCATTTTAAAATTGCATCCACCAGAGGCGCCTGGCTGGCTCAGTCATTGGAGCATGCCACTCTTGATCTCGGGTCATGAGTTTGAGCCCCAAGTTGGACCTAGAGATACAAAAAATAAATTCATAAAAATGCATCCTCTGCTGGCCTGCATTCCTTAGGAGGAGGGAGTGTTTGGCTTGGGCCAAAGTTAATGTTCCACGGCTGATTGTTGGAATGAATAAGCGTCAATAGTATTCATCTGGTCAAAGTATTCACCTTAAATCTCCCAGGGCTGTGCACGCAGGAAATGAGGGTGTGTGGTGGATGTGTGTGTGTGTGTGTGTGTGTGGAGGGGTGGTGGTGGTGGTGGTGGTGGTAAAGCATTGCCATAGTGGACAAACATGCCGGAAAAGTACTTTCTTAAGTGGCGAAAAATCTGAATTGGAGTCTCGGCGGCGCACTCGCAGACCCCGGGCCGCCAAAGGCTCTCCCTCTCTCTCACTCAGGGCCCCCGGCAGTCGGGGAGCGGGTAGGATCACACCACCTCCGCTGGGTCTACTCCAGGCTGTGGCTCTGAACTCCCAGATCCCGCGTGCAGTAAAGTCCCACCCCTCATCAGTGATTCGTCTGAAACACAGACGTCTAGGCCGTTCTCACATTTTATTGGCTAGTGCTGTTGTCAGTCTGCGGGCACGGAGGCCTATGGGAAATGGAGTCTGGCAAAACCCAGTCCTTCTGGGGATCGCGTTTCCGCTTCCGGTGTTTAGTGGACGTCCGAACGCCAGGACTCCGGGTCCGGGCTGGGGGTTCGAGGGTCGTTTGGGGACGTTGCGCGGCCGCGGAGAAGGTGCCACGGGCCCCAGCCCCCCGGCGTCGCAGGGCCTCGGCTGGCGCGTGCCGCTGTCACCTCGGGCCCTAGCCGCCCTCGCCGGGTGGGCGTGGCCGGACCGAAACCCAGGGTCCCGCCGTCTCAGGCCCAGGCCCCGTCGCCCCGCGAGCGGCCCCCGGGCGAGATGCGGCCCTCGTGCTGGCGGCGCCCTCCTTCGCGCCGCCCACCGGACTCGGCGGGGAGGACCCTGGCCTTGTAGCCGCTGAGGCGACCCCGTCCCCAGGGCCCGCATTTACCCCATAAGACTTCCAGAGAAGGTCGCCCGCGGAGCAGAGTAGCCTTCCGGTGTAAGTCACGCTCTGCGGGCCAGTCCCCCAGTCCACGGTCAAGGGGCTGAGCCCCTGTTTATTTCCTGCCAAACACCAGCCATGTGACCTTGGGCAAGTCTCTGGGGGTCTCTGAGCCACGATTGCCCAGCTTTGAGGGAGTTGAAGTCCAAGTATTAACTTTCCTGCCAGCCCTGACATCCCGTATGGGTCTGTTTTTAGTATCTCTGCTCTTAAAGCTTGTAATCCTAACCAGGGTAAATCTTCCTGTTTGGGAGAGAGTTATTCCAGGGCTGAGGAATCCCGAGTGGGGTGACCAGCCAGAGGTGAGGGCAGTTTAGAGGTTGGACCCTTTGAATCTCTGAAAGGTTAGAGCCAGCTCCACCCAGCTGCTGCTCTCCAAGGTGCTGCTACCTTGTGCGCCCTCTCGTACTTGTCCTGCCACATTGACTTTGTCACACTCTAGTTCCGAAGACCAGTGGCTTGGGAGGGTGGGCGGCTTATTGTCCCCATTGTCTTCTCCAGTCCATCCTCACTCGTCAGTGTGGATGAGTGACATCTTCTCGGCCTCAAGTAAATTGCTGTGCAAACACAGCCTCAAGCCCCCCTACTTTCCAATCAGATCACCCGCTCTTGACCCTCCTCTTAAACTTCTGGAGCTGCTTCCCCAGTGACACAGGGCCAGACTCCACGGGCACCAGGACATGGGGAGGGGAGGACACGAAGGCTCTTTTCTTCACCTCAGTCCTGCTGGGCTGGCACTTGTGATGGTCACTAGCATTCACTCTGTAATGTATTATCCGTGGCTCTAGAATTTCGAGTTCTACTTAGTGACTCCTATCTGATGGTAGCTCCCCGTTGAGGTAAAGGAAGAGCTTTGAGCTTCAGAGCCCAGTGGCAAGGTTCTTCTGTGAGCTGAACGATGGCTGTAGCTGGGGACCCACAAGTCCAGACTCCTCGAGCGCGAGAAGAGCTTCAAAGAGTGAAGCTGGAAGACGATTCCCACTGGGAGCAGGAAATTTCCCAAAGGAGCGACCCTGGACCAGAGACCTCCTGCCGGCGGTTTTGGCATTTCTGCTATCAACAAGCATCAGGACCCCGGGAGGCTCTCATCCAACTCCGGGAGCTCTGTCATCAGTGGCTGAGGCCAGAGGAGTGTACGAAAGAGCAGATCCTGGAATTGCTAGTGCTAGAACAGTTCCTGGCTGTCCTTCCTCGGGAGATCCAGTTCTGGGTTAGACAGAAGCATCCAGAGAGTGGAGAGGAGGCCGTGGCCCTGGTGGAAGACTTGCAGAAAGAGCCCGGGAGACGGGGGCTCCAGGTGAGAAGCGAGAACCTTGTTCTGGGTAAAGCAGGAGGAAGTGGGAGAGTGCCCTTGGTTTGCCAGCAGTGTGGGTGATGTGCCGTACTTTGCTGTTCGTGGCAAAGTGGCATTTGCTCATTCCCTGGGCCTGGTGGCTACGGCTTTCCTTCCACGCTCAGACGGACTCTTCAGAGAATGCGTAACAGCGCTTGCTCTGAGTGTGGGGCCCTGCCGTTAAGTAAGAGAATTGCTTAAAACGGCTTGAACACCACTCCGGGCGAGGAGGTGCACACAGAAGGACAGAAAAGCTAGGGTTTGTGGGTGGGTGGGTTGGTTTTTGGTTTCTTTTTGGAGAACAGCTCTCATTCGTCAGCAGCCAGCCTGACGCAAGTGGCTTCACTGGTCTTTATGGCCAGTATTGCACCTTTGGGTCCTATTGAAAAACAGCTATATTTTTGGTTGGCTGAGTCTTGCCTCAGGAGGGCTGGTGGGCAGATTGCAGTGAGCCTGGGATCCAGACCTTATCTGTTAGTCTTTTGCACATCCACACTCCTTACTGGACTGCAGTGATTTGCAGGAGACTGATTTCCTCCTTTGCTTCTTTGCATCTTGGGATAGTTAAGTTTTAGTGCCTACAGAATTTCGACCCCTCTAGTCCTTGAACAGGGACAGGAGGTATGCTCAGAGGAGAAGGAACACTGAGGATCAGTACTAGCTTCCCAAGACGCCCATCTCAAGCAAGCACAGACAGGATTCATGTGTCTGTTACAGGCAGTGGTGAAGAACTCACAGCCAGAACTGGAAGAACAGTGGCATCACAGTCCCGAAGAGGAACTCCCAGCCTTGCACAGGAGCGGTAGGAAGCAGCAGCCTGGGGAGAGGGTGGGTCAGTTCCCTCAGAGTGCCGAAGGTGGGAGGATGGGGCAGGTGAAACGAGGCTTGGGGGATCCTCGGCAGGTACCTCCGAAGGGAGGAAGGGCCTTGGTTGGCATGTTTTGTAAAAGTACCCAGCGGAGCCTGTGGTACCTCTCCTTGTGTGAGTGAGGTTACTGTCCCCGTAGGTTGGGCACAGACTTTAGGTCTGGCTGGTGGAGAAAGCACAAGGTGGGGTCAAATCCAAGCACAGAAATTCTCAGGACAGGTACATGTGTCCCAGACCAATTTGGATGAGGCAGATGTGTTATCAAAACTGACGAAGAAAATCATGAAACTGCATCAGTAACCTGGATGGAGATGGAAGGGGAAAATTGGGAGCTCTCCTCATTTTGGTTTTTCACCAACTTTCTTTGCTGGGACAGAGCAGACACCAAGAGAAGGGGGAAGACTCTTCTGTTTCAGAACTAAGTTGGGCCCGTCCTCAGGAGGAGTTGAGAAACGTGGTCTCCTCATAGCTCCTTTCTCTTCCCCACAGCCCTGCCTGGTCCTGGAACTCTGGGTCTTTCTGTGGAGGAGGGCGGCAGTGACCAGGGGATGATGCACAGCCCCCAGGTGAGCCAGATCTTTCTCTTACTTAGGACGCCTTTCACTATCCGAGTGGGGGCCCTTTGCCGCCAACTCTTTTGCTCACCAGAGATGCCAAGAGAGTTTTACCCAGCGGTGGCGGAGGGGGTTCTCAGTAACTTTGTCGATTAGGCTCCGGAATTTCACCAGCCAGAACAATGTTGCTGAACCCCCCCCTCCGTCTGGAAGGCAGCACCACAGCTGAGGTGGTGAGGAATGGTATTAAGTCATTCTTTTCCTTGAGCCCGAGATTGTAAGATCATGCTGATTGGCACGTTTGCCTTAAAAGGAATAGTTACTTCCTTCTTTCCATATCCGAGTCTTGCCCACATGGTGTGCAGGACTGTGGAGGCGTGGAGGGAACAAAAGCCTCAGGGTCAGAGAGTCCTGCGTTCAAATGCTGGCTCTGCCACATACTGACTGTATAACTGAGCAAGTGTGAAACTATCTGGCACAGCACACCTGGTGTTCCGTAAATGTTAGCTTCTTTCTGGCTTTTCTTTCTCTCCCCCGCTCCCTCCCCGTCCTTTATTGCCTTTGAAAGTCAAAGAAAACTCACTTTTTAGTTTCTCCTCAGCCTTTTTCGTCACCTGCCCTCTGATGAAGGCCGTATAGGGAGGCATTTTGTCCCAAGGCGGCACCTTTTGAACAGGGTGTTATGTTTTCCCAGGAGTTGGTGACATTCGGCGATGTGGCCGTGTACATCTCCCAGGAGGCACGGAGGCAGCCAGGACCTGGATGGAGGAACCACCTGGAAAGAAGTTGGGAGAAATCTGCAAGTGAGGTCTCGCCGGGTAAGAGCACCGTTTTCCTGTACAAAGTTAGCCGTGGCGTTATCTGTAGTGTTCACTACCCCAGACCTTTTTGGGATCATATTGTTGAAAGCCCTCAATTCTGCTTGAAGAGAGACCCGTAATCTAATACCAAAGTCAGTGCTCTCAAGGATGAGTTTCTAGAACCCAGAGAGAATATTGTGTTGACATTTACTGACCATCTTAGGAAGACGGTCAGTAAAGCCTCTGGTGGGAGCCTGAATTTTATTTGTTTCAGGACAGATGTACGTGCATGTGTAGGTCTAGATTTGGGCCTGGATTTTTTTCTTACTGTTCCCTCGCAGCCTGAATACTACTTTTACCGAGGCTTCCCGAGAATCCCTTCAGACTTAAAAAAAAAAATGAATAGTATCTCCCCTCCCTGGCATATAAGGTGGTTGGGATGAGAGTCACCAAACCACTGTATCTTCTGTGTGTCTCCCTCTGCAAACAGATTTGCCAACCCCCCTACCCAGTGTCAGCTCCCACGTGGAGCAGGAGGAGGACCCACGGAGGCGTGATCTTCAGTGTCCCGGAGAGGAGAACGCCAGCGACTCCGCAGCGGGCAGGGGGAGAGGCCAGCCTGGCCACGTGCCCGTCCTGAGAAAAGCCAAGATGTGGGACGAGCTGGAGTTGCAGGGCCTGGAGGATGAGAAGGTGGCAGGGGTGCACTGGGGCTATGAGGAAACCAAGACTTTTTTGGGAATTCTCAGTGAGTCTTGGATCCACGAGAAACTGCGCACCTGCCATCGGAACCGCCAGGTGTACCGGCTGGTGGCCGAGCGGCTGCGGGAGCGCGGCTTCCCGCGGACCCTGGAACAGTGTCGCTACCGGTTCAAAAACCTCCAGACCCACTACCGCAAAGCCAGGAGCACGCACGCCCCGGGAACCTGCCCCTTCTATCGTGAGATGGACGCCCTGATGTGCCCACGGGCCGCCACCCCCCTTCCAGAGGTGGCAGGGGCTCTTCTTGGGCACAGGGCCTGTGATGTGGAGCATGCAGAGCTTCAGGGGCGCCGCTGGGGACAGGAGGAGGCAGTGCTGGCTGAGGCTGTGTTGGAAGGCAGGGCAGAGAAGCAGGGGCCGGACCCCGGCCACACTACAGCATCTGTAGAAGAAGGGCATTTAGGAGCCGTCACGGAGGATTCTGAGGGGGAAGAACTGGGGGTCGAAGAAGTGTCTGGAAGCCCTGGAATCCCAGCCCTGTTTCGGAGTCCGGCTGGTAAGTCCTTGTCATGAGCAAGCTGGCAGGGTCCTCGCTGTCAGCGGGGTTTGGAGAAAAGCTCGCCGCGACCGGTCATTTCGGGGGTGCCGTGGGGATTCAGGGCACACTGTAGTCGTCTGGAAAGGGCAAGGAAAGGCTATTTTTATGTACAAATGGGACAGCCCTTTGTTCCTGTGTGCAGTCGAGAAAAAGGAAGAACCATTATGTAAGAGTCATGTGTATGAGTGTAAAAATAAACGTGTGCATATTGTCGGATCGAGTCCCATCACAGAGGAAAACCCGCTTGACTGTTTCTCCGGAAATCACCGAGATGCTGTGGTAGGAGTGGGGGGTCTCCTGCTGTCCTCCGCACAATCAGCAGCACCATCTCAGCTCACCTCTGTACCTCTCCTCCAGGTGTGCACTGGGGCTACGAAGAAACCAAAATTTTCCTGGGGATTCTCGGTGAGCCCTACATTCACGAGAAACTGCGCACCTGCCATCGGAACCGCCAGGT